GCCTGAAGAAGACGCCTTTTGATTTTGAGGTCCGTTCGTCCTTCCAGTTATATTTCTGTCAAGTGCGCTTACACTGAGGTATAGTTTCGGTTGATTGCGTTTAGTTAAATGATCTGCATTTCCATAAATGGCTTTTCATACAACAGCAAACATGCATTAAAGAAGAAAATAGAAGCAAAAATGCAAAAGCTTGTGTAGAAAATTTAAATTCTTGTTTATAAACTTTAAAAGTTTGCAAAAATAAATATATAGATATAAACAGGTGGATTCGAACCAGGACACTAAAAATGTTCATGATGAGAGTCTGCGGTCTATCTTGTATATACCAGTATGATAGATACAGGTTTTCGCATTTTTATAGGTTTTTTTTTATTTTAGGACGGGTGCCCCTAAGAAAGCCTTGTTTCAAATTATCTATAAGATCAGAATCTATCAAATTTCATACCCCCAGTAATTTAATTTAGGGACCTGCTCTGAAGGACTTCTACGCAAAATTAATACTTTAATTGACAAAATGCTGTTTTGACCAACTTTGGAGGTTAATATTAAAGTTGCAAATAAAACAAGAGGCCCATGGGCCACATCGCTCACCTGAGCACTGTGGCTAGGAAAACGTAGAAATTGGTTTATTATTGAAAAGTTTAAATCCAAAAATAGTCCGATGACCAATCATGGCTTTGCTTTTCTTGAGAAGATGATTTTTAAAGAATTTTCCTATATATGTTTATGTAAAACTTTGGTCGGCCATTGTGGCCCCACCCTACACCCGAAGGTCATGATTTGAACAAATCTGAATCTACACTATCTGAGGATGCTTCCATATAAATATGATCAATTATGGCTTTGTTATTCTTGAGAAGAAGATTTTTAAAGAATTTTCCTATATATTTCTACGTAAAACTTTGGTCGGCAATTGTGGCCCCGCCCTACCCCCAGGGGTCATGATTTGAACAAATTTAAATCTACACTACCTGAGGATGCTTTCATAAAGATATGATCAATTATGGCTTTGCTATTCTTGAGAAGAAGATTTTTAAAGAATTTTCCTATATATTTCTATGTAAAACTTTGGTCGGCCATTGTGGCCCCGCCCTACCCCCGGGGTCATAATTTGTACAAACTTAAATCTACACTACCTGAGGATGCTTCCATATAAATATGATCAATTATGGCATTGCTGTTCTTGAGAAGAAGATTTTTAAAGACTTTTCCTATATCTTTCTATGTAAAACTTTGGTCGGCCAATGTGGCCCCACCCTACCCCCGGGGGTCATGATTTGAACAAACTTGAATCTACACTACCTGAGGATGCTTCCATATATAAATATGATCAATTATAGCTTTGTAATTCTTGAGAAGAAGATTTTTAAAGAATTTTCCTATATATTTCACTGTGAAATTTTGGTCGGCCAATGTGGCCCCACCCTACCCCCGGGGGTCATGATTTGAACAAACTTAAATCTACACTACCTGAGGATGTTTCCCCATAAGTTTCATATTTCCTGGCACAGTGGTTCTTGAGAAGAAGATTTTTAAAACATACCACCAAATTTTCATTAATTCCCAATTATCTCCCCTTGAATGAGGGCCTGGCCCTTCATTTGAACAAACTTTAATCCCCTTCACCCAAGAATGCTTTGTGGCAAGTTTGGTTGAAATTGGCCCAGAGGTTCTTGAGAAGAAGTCGAAAATGTGAAAAGTTTACAGACAGACGGACTGACAGACAGACAGACGGACGCCGGACAAAATGTGATGAGAAAAGCTCACTTGAGCCTTCGGCTCAGGTGAGCTAAAAAAAAAGGTTCAAAATGCAAAATTGAAAAATGTAGACAAATTTACGATCGAAAAACAAATAAAGAACATTGATTTTTAAATGTGACTTTTCTGGAAAATTGCTCTCTCTTATATGTCAATTTTGTTGTTATTACATTTGTAAGAATACACCCTTATACAAGTACAATTTAGTTAAAGATGATTCTAAGCCAATTGGTCATGGTGACCTACTTATCAGTTTTCATTCTCTGGGGAACCATGATACATCAACTGATAAAGTTTGATGATTCTCTGCCAATTAGTATCTGAAATATTTTTAAAAGGTCATAAATTTTTTTAAGTAGATTACGGTGACCTACTTTTCAGTCGACATACTCCGAGGAACCAAAATGCATCAACTGACCAAAATGACCTACCTTTTCCAGTTTGGATTTTCAAGGCTTAATCTAAAAATACCGGAAACTTATAGGTTTCAAATGAAAATGTTAAGTTCGAGGCCCTTTGGCCTCTTGTCATACTTATATGGAAGCATCCTCAGGAATTGTAGATTCAAGTGTTCAGATCACAACCCTTGGGAGTGTGAAAAAGCGGCCCATTATGAGCATCAAAGTTTGATAAAGGAATGCAGAGGAAAAATCTTCATCGGTCTTCTTTTCAAAACAAGCAAAGCCAAGATAAGTTTTATTTATGTTGAAGCATCTTCAGATAGTGACTCCCTTTGGGTAGGATGGTGCCACCATGAAGTATCTAAGTTTTACATACATGTAAAAATGAAGATTTTTTCTTTTAATCATTATTATATGTATATAGAAGCATCCTCAAATTCAAGTTTGTTAAAACATGCATCTAATTCTTGAGGAAAGGACAAGGGGTACATGTTCACTGAAAAGCTGTATACCCCCCCCCCCTTTTTTTTTGGTTGCAGTAGAATCAAATACGGGTTTTGTAGCAATTTATGAATAAAATTTAGTGTTTAAAGAAGTTAAAATCTAAAAACATACCCTCCTTTCCCTCTTATACACACATAATATATGCAAGAAATAGGATTTTAGAATTTGTATACTAGATTCCCATTATATCGCGGGTTCATTGTATTGCGGTATATCACGAAAATGTGGATACATAGCCTATATTCTCTTTGTTGATAGACAATATGAATGTTGTCTGAATGTTTAATTTTTTGATGATTAAGAAGTACGGAACATCCGTTCCAAAAATAAATATTCAATTAAAACGTAATTTTACAGATTTCCAGTCCTGGTTTTATTATATTTAGACCATTAAAATTATATCCTGGTAAAAATTATGATAATGTTCATCTTTTAAAAGTCTTTAATTTGTACAATTGTTTACTTTTCATGAAGAATTACATTGTAAATTCAAAAATAAAATTTGAGGTCCGTGTCATCTACATGTTATTTCCATACCGTGATACAATGAGGCTCTCCAATTTAGGAGGTAAATAAGACTTCCTGTTTTAAAAATAGACCACAAATTAAACGATGCAAGCTTGGAAAACAATAGGACACTAAAACGTTGGGCCAAAGTTAGAATTATGATTATCATTTGATATAAATTAAAGTAAACAAGAGGCCCATGGGCCACATCGCTCACCTGAACAACTTGGGTATTGCAGTTCTTCACCAGATTCCCCTCTTGCTATACTTATCGTGCCCCCCTACCCCCTTCCCTTTCATGATTTTGATACTTAAGAATCTACACTACCCAATGCAGGATACTTCCACATAAGTTTCCAGCTTTCCTGGCTCAGTGGTTTTTGAGAAGAAGATTCTTAAATGATTTTTCCTAAATATATCTGTGTAAAACTTGGATTCCCTATTGTGACCCCGCCCTGCCCCCAAAGGACATGATTTTAACAATTTTTAAAATATCTACACTAGCCAAGGATGCTTCCACATAAGTTTCAGCTTTCCTGGCCCAGTGGTTCTTGAGAAGAAGATTTTTAAAGATTTGTTCTATATATTTCTATGTAAAACTTGGATTCCCTATTGTGGCCCCACCCTACCCCCGGGGGTCATGATTTTAACAATTTAATATCTATACTATCCAAGGAAGCTTCCAAATAAGTTTCAGCTTTCCTGGCCCAGCGGTTCTTGAGAAGAAGACTTTTTAATGACCCCACCCTATTTTTGACTTTTCTTGATTATCTCCCCTTTTACGGGAACTTGGCCCTTCATTTTAACAATTTAAACTCCTCTTCACCAAAGGATGCTATGTACCAAGTTTGGTTAAAATTGGCCCATTGCTTCTTGAGAAGAAGTTGAAAATGTGAAAAGTTTACAGACGGACAGACGGACGGATGACGGACAAAATGTGATCAGAATAGCTCACTTGAGCCTTCGGCTCAGGTGAGCTAAAAATTGAAATTACACTTTTTATGCAAAAGAATTAAGTACCGCGATATAATGAGACACCAGTATATATTTCTTTGGGCTTCTCAAAAATTTGTTCAGGTAGGTTGAAACATAGACCTAATTTGTGTGCTTTGCCTAGATATGGTTGAAACTACAGATCATCTCTTGTTGCCATCCTTTTCATCCCTGAGTGCTACATCCCTGAGTGAGTACCGGAAGAGAGGTGCTGATCCACAATTCACATTGAAACAAATTTATTCTTCCTCTCTTTCTTGCGTAAAAAGAATACCTGATACATGCAAGTTAATCGACTTCTTTAGTAGGTTATACATGTAGTCTTAACAATTTTGGGGGGCTTATACATGTATTTACCGGTATATTATAAAATTAAAAATCTCCCATGATATTGATTGAATCTGAATTTCTTCTTTCGCAGTGAAAAGGGCCAAATTGATCAAATAATTTTTTTTATCGAAAAACATCAAACCATTCGAATATAATGCAGAGCATGCTCACGTTATTCTCTTTATTTGTTTACAAAGGAAGGATGAATTAATTATTTAATATATTATTCATGATTCTACAATAAGAAGAGCAGAGACATAAAAACCATGTCTCTGTATTATAATAATATAACTGATTATAAAATGTGATAAAATAAACTGCTTTTAGAAATTTAAAAAATACACTAGCTTCTCAAAGTTAGTCCACGCATATGAAATACGTACATTTTGTTTTCTGACAGTTCTAAATGTAAAGAGAACAAGGCCACATAAACCTAACATTTGTGCCCCGTGCCCCTTTCTATTCAAGTTTGCAAATGAAAGAAGAGTAGATCGAGTTATTATTTACCATTGCTAGCATTTTCTACAAGTTCCTCCAGATTTTCTTCTTCCTCATTGTGATCCTCTTCGGTTGCTTCCTCTTCATTATTCTCGCCAGGGGTCTCATCAAAACCATTTTCGTGATTTCTGACCATGTTTACGTCGTCGGCCATATTTTGTGTCATGTGGCCTCAACAACAGAGTTATTTCCGGTGCTGACACTCTCCGATTTTTTTCCGAAAGCATGCGGAAATGGACGAACAGGTGCCGGATGTTGTAATCATTTATTTTTATCCATGGGATTTTCCGATTTCAAGGGGTTGTGCAATACCTGTGATATTTATACTCTCAAGAAGTAAAATACGCATTATATGCATTTTATCTGCGGAGGTAAGGGGATTATTATAACTATATGTTCATATGTTGTTTTTCTTTATTTTTATAAATGACTTGTAAGGGATTGTTTTAAATGACCTGATATATTAAATAATTCTTTTAGAAAGATGAAACACTTTAAAAGGTTTTGAGAAGAAAATGTTTGCAGCAATTTATGGGGGAAAAAAAAGGATTTTGAAATGACCTGATGATTTCCTACTAAAGACCTGATATTTTTTGATGACCTGATATTTCTGAATGACTTGATGGATTTAAATGACTGATTTATTATTATATTATTACTACATATTTTCAAAAAAATAAAACAGTTAAACCTTTTAAAATTTGAATATTTGCAGCAATTCTATTTCATTTAAGAATATCAGGTCTTAAAAGTAGAGATATCAGGTCATTCAAAATTATCAGGTCATCAAGTTTTGTGAATATACCTTGATATATAGCAAAATAATCTACAAATTATCCACTAAAAATGTAATTTAATGTAGTTTCAACTATTATCATCAATAATTTTCCCTCAAAAATATGAAATGGAAAGTTTAAATTGATTTTTTTTTCATCAGGTCAAAATATCAGGTCCTTAGTATATCAGGTCTTTAGTATGTTCCGATGTATTATTAAATTATTAAGGAAACTACCGGTATTAACTGTTCATAATAAGCCTCATTTTATGTAGATATTTTCATTCAAAATAATAATCAGTTATGGCAGTCCAACATTTACGGGGCTACCAGCTAGATCTTGGAGGGGCGACCAAGTGCATCGAGGACACGATATTTTTTCTACGCCAGACAACATTAAATTCACTTGGCAAAAGGACCCTTCCACAGAGTTTATTACATGCATGCTGCAATAATTCCAATCTTAATTTTATTTATTGATTCCCTGTGTTTTGATTGGACGAAAACAAATTCAAGAAAAAGTTTACACATCGATGAATTCTTCAATTAGAACTACTTTAAGTAGTCCGTTTTAGCTAAATTATGATTACAAGAAACTTGAAATAAAAATGAATGAAAGAATGAATGAATGATCGAATGAATGAATGAAAAGGAGATAAACAGGACTGACAGACGGGAATATTATGTTTATGTCGCTGTCGGATCACGAGTGTGAATTTTAAAAAATCCCTGATCATGCTGTCATTTTCTCGACGTTCCATATCAGCTCAGCTGGTAGGCCTATCGTTGTGATAGGGAAAAGAAACGTACCTCAGACTCTTGCCTTTTTAGCATCAAATTCATATGTTTACATCCTACAGATCCCATATTCTCCCCAAATCTTTGACCGAACCAGAGCAAATCGAGGACGTCGTCGGTCTGCATCTTTCGTTATGACGTTGTTGTTTTAAAAATGTCAACATGGCCATGGTCAAGGACGAATTATTCTGGAGAATACGCGTATTTACGATATTTGTTGAGTTAAACAACATTCAATGAGTTTTTTTTAAGCTTATTTATTGATTGTTTTGACAATTTAAGATGGATTTTATCGATATTCATCTTGTATACGTTTCTTTGCGACATAAAGTATTCCTACGCCGTACAAAATAACGGATTGTATGGCGGCCTCAAAGGGAAATAATTTTAATGATTTAAAAAATTCGTAATTGGAATTATAAGAATTAAACGTTCTTTTTTCAGAATTTATCGATGTGTAAACTCTGCCTTTTTACTCACAAACTTTACATAAAAGTGCACTTCGCACTTTTATGTAAAGTTTGTGAGTAAAAAGGCAGAGTTTACACATCGATAAATTCTGAAAAAAGAACGTTTAATCCTATATTGCATGAGTTGTCGCATTAATACACACGTGTTTAATGAATTATTACTTAAAAGTTAAACAACCTAAGCGTATGGACATTTTTTTCGCAGGTAATTTTTTTTCTTTTTTTCAGGTTAGACCTGTTTTATAATCATGTCCTCTGAAGCTTTTATTCCTGACTATGAAGAAGAGATGGAGTGTGATCGTTCAGAGATCGTGAAGCCAGCACAAGAATCACAAGACAGATACACGTCCATACACAGTTCTGGATTTCGAGATTTTCTTCTGAGGCCAGAACTCCTGAGAGCCATCAAAGACCGAGGTTACGAACACCCGTCTCAAGGTAAAACTCCAGACTGGACTTTTTGTATGGATAGATGATGTTTTGGAGGCATGATGGATTGAGATTCCAAGAAGTTAAACATCGTTACAAAGGGACAGCGCACTTTTGATTACCTTCCTTATGCGGCTTTCTACGTCAAATTTAAGGAAAGAGGTCGTTATAACCCTTTGGTTATAAATACAGGAAAAGGACGACTCAAGTCTTGCTTTCTAACAAAATAAGAAGTTTTGTTGGGTTCCTGAAATTTGTACACAATGAAGAAAGGAATTCAAGGACCGAGAAGCAATAGTCTGGGGGAAAATATCAAATGTGCTGAAGAATTCAAGTTTTGCAGCTGTGGAGCAAGTGCATTGTATATTTTGTTGTATGCATCTCGGATGCTTGAACTTTTAGTATTTTTCAGTGCAACACGAATGTATACCTCAAGCCATCCTGTCAATGGACGTTCTGTGTCAGGCAAAATCAGGAATGGGGAAGACAGCTGTTTTTGTCCTCTCAACGCTCCAGCAAATCAAAGAGTCGTGTGACAATGTAAGTTTAGACGAACAAAGATCTTTACTTTAGAAGGATGCCCAAATTAGACTTCGTGTACTCAATCATCATACTGTCAGATGAAGGCATATAACTTGTTTCTTATTAAAATTCCAGGTTTTAGTACTAGCCATTGCACACACAAGGGAACTTGCCTACCAGATTGCCGATGAATACCAAACCTTTTCCAAGTTCATGCCAGAGATAAAAGTTGCGGTGTTTTTTGGCGGTCTTTCCATTAAGAAGGACGAAGAGGTCCTGGCCAGGAAGCAGCCGACCGTTGTCGTGGGAACCCCTGGTCGTCTGCTTGCTCTGGTGCAGAAACAGAAACTTAATCTTGACAAACTCCGTTATTTCATTGTCGACGAGTGTGACCAAGTCCTCAAGGAACATGGTGAACGACACTGATTGATGTGATTTATCGATAGGATTCATATTGGTTTGGACAAACTTTTTGTGTCATGTAGTGTAGATTTTTAAGAAGAAATTATGAATCTATTGCAGGGATGAGGAAAGACGTGCAGGCCATCTTCATGAAATCGCCCTGTGACAAACAAGTATTGATGTTCAGTGCCACACTCAACAAGGACCTCAGAACTGTGTGCAGGCGATTTATGAATGACGTAATTATTTCCTCCTCAGTTGTATTTCTGTTCTTTGAAACAATATGTATCTTTAGTTTGTGCTTAAAATTTTGTGTATATGGACTACTGTATTTATTTATATCAGTTGTGAAACTATGTGAATGTCGTTGTTTAATTCTTATTCTGTAATTTTTAACGTAATAGAGAAGAGAATATTTATGTATTTGCATACCGGTATTGTGAAATGCCACATAGTCAGTGAAACTCTTAAATTCGTCATGAAAAGATAAATAGATTTCCTTGCACTTGCCAAGTTAACATGTGACAGGAACTGGCTTTGTTTAGTGTTTTAACCAATAATATCGTGGATATTGATCTGGGCGTCATCGATGACATTGTATTTGGAGATGATTTTCCCCCATGAAATTCCATCAAGTAATTGTTGTTCCTGATGGCCCTTTGATGACAGTCGGATGGAAAAGGTGCCATCATGGACTAGTGCACGTGTATGTTCCTATTTGTAGCCAGTAGAAGTTACCATTGACGACGAATCAAACCTTACACTCCACGGACTACAGCAATATTACCTTACAATGGAAGAAAATGAAAAGACCAGAAAACTTTGTGATTTGTTAGACCTGCTTGAATTCAACCAGGTATCCTTGATTGTTTTTAGGATGCATAATATGTGTAATTCAGAAGTACATGCCGTCATCGATCTCTTCAAATACATGTGAAATGAGCTTTGGTCCCGTTTCGTACTAGGTTATCATCTTCGTGAGTACTGTCGTCAGATGTCAGACTTTAGCTGAGGTTCTACAGAGTCAGAATTTCCCCGTCCTGACCATTCACAGAGCTATGGAACAAACTGAAAGGTGGATGTTACACGATGAAGATTGTTTTTCTTCATTTTTTTGTATATTAGAAAATATATCAATATTTATGACATACAAATTCGAATATACCTAAAATACATTAGTTGTGAATTTTTAAAGTAAAGAATTTTTACGTTTTGCAGACTGGCACGGTATCAACAGTTCAAAGATTTTCAAAAGAGAATACTTGTGGCTACAAACTTATTTGGCCGTGGAATGGACATTGAACGAGTTAATATCGTCATCAATTACGACACACCAGAAGATTCGGACTCGTACCTCCACAGGGTACACAATTTCACTGAAATTTTATGCTTCAAACACTATTTGTAAATCAAACCCAATGTCGGACTCGGTGTCATGTTTACAATATATTTTCAGGTGGGTCGAGCAGGCCGATTTGGAACAAAAGGACTGGCCATAACATTTGTATCTGGTCCTTCAGATGCTACAGTGATGAATTCGGTACAAAGCCGATTTTCTGTAGGAATTGAGAAGATGCCAGAGGAGATCGACATTTCTTCGTATTGTAGGTTCTTTAGTTTCTCGTGTGTTGATTGTATTTGTAAATGTGAAAATTATTAGCTTTGCCTTGGTTGAAAATTGACAATGTTCATATTTATTCCTTTTTATGAGGTTTTGCTTTATTTTTTTCAGTGAACGACACAGCATGAAATGCGCCGAGGCATTATTTGAAGAACTGTGTCTGTGGAATTATTTTCTACTTGGAAGAAGTCGGTTAAAGTTTGTGAAATACGAAAGTGACACAAAACATTGTATATATATGTCAGATTTATAAAGACGTGTACATGTACTTATAAATATATTTAATAGATATATACCTATATTGTCAATGTAGTAATGAATGCTATTTTTGGCATTAATATTTGGTAGAACTGTTGTACATTTGTACCATTAATAATCACTGAAATGGCACAATATGTTTATGTAAATAAATCATCTCTATTCGTCTTTTTCTTCGTTTCCGCTCAATTAGACTGTATAGTATAAACCAGAAGTCTCTGTCAAGAGACTAACTCTTACGACTGACTGAATTTATAACAAGAGAAAAGAAGCACCTTGATCGGGCCTCAAACTTTGCAACAGCAATAAATAGAATAACGATCCTTGATTTCTCTTTTTAGGTCACCTGAGTCACTCAGGTGACCTATTGCTATCTGTTTTCGTCCGCCGTCGTACGTCGTTCGTCGTACGTCGTTCGTCGTCAATCGGTCGTAAACTTTTGACCATTTTTCAGCTTCTTCTCTGCAACCACTGCACTAATTTCAACCAAATTTGGCACAAAGTATCTATGGGTGAAGGGGAACAAAAATTTTGAATATCATGATCCCTGCCCCCCTGGGGCCTGGGGGGTGGGGCCAAAACCACTAAAATTAATGCAATCTTTAAAAATCTTCTTCTCTACACCTGTACATCAAGCAGTCAAACTGTTTGCATGATTGTAATCAGCAATGAGTCTTCTACCAAAATTGTGAAATTCATGGCCCTGGGGTGAGGAGTACTTGTGCTAGGGCGGGGCTAAATAAGTATATAGTGAAAATGTATTATTTCTTTAAAAATCTTCTTCTTTGCTCCTGGGTATTAAATAAAGTAACTAAGTACATAGTTATGATGAGCAGGAAAGCCTCTACCAAAATTGTGAATTTTATGGCCCCAAGGTCAGGGGTTGTGGAGTTAGGGCGGGCCTCTATTGATTATATAGAGAAAATACATGAATTCTTTGAAAATCTTCTTCTCTGCTCCTAGGTATTAAATAAACTAACTAAGTGCATAGTTATGATAAGAAAGAGTGCCTCTACCAAAATTGTGAATTTTATGGCCCCAGGGTCAAGGGTTCTGGTGTTGGGTGGGGGGCTCTATTGATTATATAGTGAAAATACATGAATTCTTTGAAAATCTTCTTCTCTGCTCCTAGGTATGAAATAAACTAACTAAGTGCATAGTTATGATAAGCAAGAGTGCTCTTACCAAAATTGTGAATTTTATGGCCCCAGGGTCAAGGGTTCTGGTGTTGGGGAGGGGGGGGGGCTCTATTGATTATATAGTGAAAATACATGAATTCTTTGAAAATCTTTTTCTCTGCTCCTTGGTATCAAATAAACTAATTAAGTGCATAGTTGTGATAAGCAAGAGTGCCTCTACCAAAATTGTGAATTTTATGGCCCCAGGGTCAAGGGTTCTGGTGTTGGGGGGGGGGGGCTCTATTGATTATATAGTGAAAATACATGAATTCTTTGAAAATCTTCTTCTCTGCTCCTAGGTATTAAATAAACTTACTAAGTGCATAGTAATGATGAGCAAGAGTGCCTCAACAAAAATTTTGAATTTTATGGTCCCAGGGTCAAGGGTTCTGGTGTTAGGCTGGGGTTCTATTGATTATATAGTGAAAATTCATTAAATTTTCTTCTCTGTCTCTGGGTATGAAGCGGATGAACAACCTATATAGTTATGATGAGCAAGGGCCCTAATCTTGCAGAATTGTGTGTTTTAAGGCCCCAGGGTCAGGGGTTGGGTGGGGGAGGGGCTCTGCTTATATACTGAAAATTAATTTATTGTTTGAAATCTGCTCCTTTGTATTTATAAAACATTTAATTTTTTTTGATAGGCAATTTTAAGGGTGCATTTTAATAATTTGTGCAATGTTTGGACCTAGGGTCAGGGGTTTATGTCACCATGTAAGGGGCACTACTGATTATTGCTGAATATTACTGATTACTTGGAGTGCCTTTTTGTTCCCCTACCCTGTGTATGGGTATTCAGTTACCAAGCTAAACAACTGTTAAGTGTATTGTTATGATGATCAATGGTGCCTCTTTCAAAATTGTGAATGCCATATAGCATCTGGCTTAAAACATGAATCAAATTCAATACACTGTAACTGGAAAGTTGTTGCATAATGCTCAGGTGACCTATAAGGCCCGTGGGCCTCTTGTTTTTGGCAGTCGGCGTAAGACTGTAGCAGGAGTAGCCTTTCAAAAAGAATTTCACAGAAAATTCTATTTTTAGTAACAATGGCAATTGGCAACACCATTAATTGAAATCAAATAACAATATTAAAAGAATGTAGAGGTCTACTTGTGTGCCAAGTTTTGATGAAATCAGGCCAAACTGTAATACCGTTTAGATTGATTGTAATTGTTTAACGTCCCTCTCGAGAATTTTTCACTCATGTGGAGACTGGAGACGCCACTACTTGCCGATGGAGAGCTGCTTTTGTGCTATGCTCGGCACTCGGGGCCGTTGCGCAGTGAGGGACTTTTTTCGTGCCAGTAACTACTGCGATATAGGACCTCGGTTTATACGGTCTCATCCAAAGAACTGGTCTCCGCGTCCCACAGTGGGATTCGAACCCGCGACGTAAGGATCCAGTCCTTAATTACGTCCCGACTTGAGAGTAGACGCTCTAACCACTGCACCACGCGGGCGACTAATAGCGTTTAGAAAGACTTCCGAAAAATTTCTACTTTTACATTTTTAATCCGTTCGGCAAAATCAAAATTTGTGATTTATGAAAGTTTTCTTAGTGTAGCCTGCTTGTGTGCCAAGTTATATTGAAATGCCAATTTATACTGAAATCAGACTGTAGAAGTAGTGTTTTTAAAATTTGTGTATAGAAAGACGGACAGCAAAACGGACGGATGAATTTCACATAAGCTCTTCTGGTCTCTGACGAGTAGAGCTAAAAACCAAGGGAAGGACATTGCCATAAAAATACACGTGTGAAATATTTTAAGCCCTACCATTTACTGTTCAAAAAATATGTTTAAAGCTAGAGGCCCATGGGCCACATCGCTCATCTGAGTAGCTTTGACCATATGCTGTTCTTTACCACCACCACCCCCCGTAATTCTTATTGTGACCCCACCTTACCACATGGGTCATAATTTGGACAATTGAAAATCTACACTACGCAAGGGTGCTACCAAATAAGTCTCTGCTTTTCTGGCCCAGTGGTTCTTGAGAAGATCTTTAAAGTTTTTTCCTATATATTTCTATGTAAAATTTTGATTCCTTATTGTGGGCCCGCCCTACCCCCGGGGGTTATGATTTGAACAATTTAGAATCTACACTACCCTAGGATGCTTCCACATAAGTTTTAGCTTTTCTGGCCCATGGCAGTGGTTCTTGAGAAGATTTTGTAATGACCCCACCCGATTATCTCCCCTTGTGAAGGGACTTGGCCCTTGATTTTAACAATTAAAACCCCCTTTTACCCAAGTATCCTTTTTACCTAGTTTGGTTAAAATTGGTTCAGTGGCTCTTGAGAAGAAGTCAAAAATGTGAAAAGTTAACGGACGGACAGACAGCTAGACGGACAGACGACAGACAAAATGTCAGAAAAGCTCACTTGAGACTTCGGCTCAGATTAGCTAAAAACAAGAAGCCCATGGGCCACATCGCTCATCTGAGTAATTTTGGCAATTCTGTCATGCAAGAGATTCCCCCCTTTGTAATTATACCTATCTTGACCTTGACAATCCTAAAGGTCATGATTCGAACAATTTAGAATCTACACAACCCCAGAGTGCTTCCATATAAGTTTCAGCTTTTCTGGCCCAGTGGTTCTTGAGAAGAAGATGCTTTAATGACCCCTCTCTATTTTTGTATTTTCTTGATTATGTACCCTTAGAAGGTGACATGGTCCTTCATTTTAATTCTCCTTTACCCAAGGATGCTTTGTACCAAGTTTGGTTAAAATTGCACTGTAAAAAATGCGCTTAGAAAATAAACACTTCCATTACGTGTTTTGACCTAAACATGTATAAGATTGTGTTTAACGGCTAAACACTTGGGTCTAAACATGTGTTAGATTGTGTTTAACGGCTAAACACTTAGGTCTAAACGTGTGTTATATCTAAATGATGTTAAGATTTAACACATGTTTAGATATAAGTGTTTAGAAATTGAACACTTTTATGTGAAGTGCAAAGTTATCTTCCCGGAAATGACGCATATATATTCGAATGATAAATAGAGCGGTTATCGAAACAAAGGAAATCCCAATGTTAGCTAAAGAAGATGGATTAAAGGAAGTGAATGCTAATCAAAGTGATAACCATGAAGAGATTGTGAAATGCATTTAAACTGCAACATTACTGCGATAAAAGGTATGTTAACTATTATTTTTATTTTACATAAATTGACCATGATGGGCTACGTAAATAGACATGCGTTTGCACATGTACAGCTGTAGATCAAGATTACCTTCGGTTATATTTTGTATTCCTGAAATCTAGAAAGGAGTACATTATATAGAATATCAATAATATCTACAACAGTATCAATACTTAATAGTGGTTATACAGACGAGGTTCAATAAAAGTAGCACAATAATAGCTATCAAGCATGTAAAAAAAAAAAAAAAAAAAAGGTTCATACAAATCCAGCCAGTGAAAAGCATATTTTGATAAAATTGAATTTTTTTCTTACAGGATATGGTCCACATCGAACTTGAAAGCAAAAATACACGTATCAGAGAAACTGTTGCCATCTCCAAGTCCACAATGGCATGCCATCGTTCTTACATTTTTCAACACTTCTTACTTTCTAGGGGAAACTGAGTTTTGTGAAGTCTGCTGTTCATTATAGCTTTGAACAACCTAAAAATATTCTCAAATAATGACAGTGGATTACCTACTGACGGTCACAGATGAAAACAAATTATGCGTGTGTTGCTCAGTGAAAAATTGCCGGAAGTTAAACTTGAAACAGACACGAGGAATAATTGCTTGCTAATCTGGTTAGAATTAAAACCAGCGTGTAAAAATATAATGTATATTTGATTTAAAATTCTTTATAAAAAATCCATGTTTGAATGTTCATTGAATAAAATTTAAAATGTAAACAATTGTTATTTTTTCAGTTTTCTTGCAGGAAGACAACGAAACATCCAAGTGTTTAATTTGTAAACATGTATCATAACATGTTTTGTAACGTGTTTAAAGTCTAAA